AATTTAGGTGTAAAAATGTAATTTCATTTTTAGGAGGCCATGTGGAAGTAACTTTTAATTCAATTGTTATATATGTGCTTAACATCTTAAATCAGTGGCCCAATGATGTAGCACAAACTATTTACGCGGCTTGGATAGTATGGTGAAATGTGACCCGATTTGGCCATTTGTGTGCAATCTTGCATTTACTTAAAAACTAAGTATGATGGATGCATTGTGACTTTTTATATTCTGTCTCTCTCTCTCTCATTTGGTTGGTGTTCGAGATTATTTTAGGGATATATTCTCTCTTTCATCTCTATAGTTTTCTCTCTGAAAATTTTTGCTTTTCGTCTGTAATCTTGAGTCTTCTAGTATTCTTGGTGATGTCCACTGTAGACTCCATTGTAGTTAGAGTTTTAGAACATGTCTGATATCTCTAGAAAAATGGAAAACATTTTTCATTTCTATCCAAAAATGCATGTTTGATGGCAAAAAATTTCCATGGAATTGGTTTTCTTGGTACAACCCATTTATGCACAATTTTCCATCTTTTAAGGAAAATGTTTTCCCATGGGTTTGGTGGTTTTTTGCTTTTCAGGTTTTTTTTCTATCTCAAATTGTAACAAATTTTATCCTTTTAATTGACAATTTTTATGAAAAATAAAGTCAAACGAAGTTCAAAAAATCCAAAATTTCAATATTTTCTATGTGAAAAATTATATTAATCAAACATATTTAATTGACAATTCTCAATAAAAACAAGTTCTAGATATTTCAATCCCCTGTAATTAGTTTTATTTCCACCCAAATTCTATTATTGCAATCAAAGAGACCCTTATTGTTTTTTGGTGAGCGGTAACTCATGGTTACTTGGTGTAATCTAAAAACGAGAGAAAAGAGTGAGAGTTGAGGTTGAGAGTTTGGAGTCGAGTGATTGTTGAGTCTCTGATTCTTGCATTTTGACACACTTTGTTTGGATTCTAGTGGATTAGAGCGATAACCGCTTAGATGAATGTTCAATGTGGTGATTAGTCTATATTTGGGTGAACATTCGGGCATACGAGCAGTAAAATACCAACATCAATAATATAATACAATTTCTATGTACACCAAGAGTAATTCGTAATATAATATGAATTAAAATTTTTAAAAATCAACTACAAGCTGTTATTAACAAGACAACCAAACGGACGGATCATGCAAACGTCGCAATAGCAAAGCTTCCATAACAATTCCAACCTTGGAAAATGGCGGATTAACTCTCGGTCTCTCACCCTATATTTATTTATTTATTAATTCACAATTTATTTATTACGTCAGATTACCTGTTGTATTTCAAGGATCTGGTTTCTCTCTCTCCGACACAGATTTGGCGGTAGGCCGTTCATTCTGCCTATTGATTTGCCTCTTCAGATACTTCTTTTCTTCATTTTTATCGAATCGTAATCAGTATTCTCTGCTGTATATAAAATTCATGAATTATATGTTGTAAATATGACGATTAAGCGTGAGTTTGAAATTCTGTGGAATTTGATTCGTCAACTTTCGAGCTTTATGACGGGGATGTTTGATTTTGTTCATTTTTAAGAACTTTTTTATTTTATTTATTATTATTATTTTTTTTTTATCTTTGTTGGGATTCGATGTATTGCCATGATCGTCATCATATCCATTCTTCTTTTGGCTGTTTTCAGTTTCCTTTCTGATTTTGATTTGTTCTATTTGTAAAGTTTTCAGTATTGATTTCAACGGCATTTTTCTGAAATTGCTCCACTTGTTAGGAAATTTTTGTTTTGCAACGAATCATGTGTACCTGTTTGTTTTTTGTAACATGCAACAACCTTCATTAGTTTTATAGATCCAAAATTTCTCAATGTGTATAGGATCTCTTGTCATCGATAGGTTTTGAGTTTTAGATAAGTATAATACATGTTTTTTATTGTTATTTTATACAGTATTCCGTATTAGAAACATTTTACTTAAGTAATCTTTTGTTATTGGAAGGTTTTGAAATCTGGGGAATGAAATGAGTCGTGTCAATGAGAGGCTTGTTTAGGTGGCTGTCTACATATTGCCTCTTAACGTGAGGGAAAGAAGTTAATGGATTCAGCGAGGAGTTGGTTCCAGAAGTTTCAACCACAGGATCGCTTGAGGTCGTCAAGTAAGAAGGATTCAATGGGAAGTGGAAGAGAAGATTCAAAGATGCTTTCCTCTGAGGAAGCCACAAATCTCACTAAACAGAGAGTTGCTGCAGCGAAGCAGTACATAGAAAATCATTACAAGACGCAGATGAAGAATCTGCAGGAGAGGAAGGAGCGGTATGGCACATGACCTGAATTATCTGTAATTTAATTGTGTTGTGAAACATTCATACTTCTTATTTTGGTATTCATTAGTTTTTCGCAACTTAATTCTACTCAGTTAGTATAATTAGCATTTGCATATCAATGGAATGCTTAGTCACTGTTCAAGCGATCCTCTGAATGCCTACAAGTAAATGGTTACCATTAAAGTGAAACTTCATATTTTTTCATTTACTATGTATTTCAGCTACTTAAGAACTCCTGTAGAACAAATAGTACTAAAATTTAGTTTTGATGTATGAGGTCCATGCTCATTAGCACCCTCAGTAGATTTTTAAGTACCAATACGTTTCAAGGTCGAGATTGATGTATTTCTCTTCACAACTGCTTTCTTTTATCATTACTCTGACAAAGTTTTTAACTAGAAACGGCAAAAAGAATTTTTGCCTTACATTGATTTTTTTTTTTTTTTTGTATTGCACTGTAAAACTTCTCTCAGAATGGTAGTTGCTTAGTGACACTATATTTTCAGATTTGTACTGTTTTCATGAAGCAACCATCTTCTACTCCTGGGTACATGCAATACTATTTTTATTTTTTTGTGCAAACAGGCGAAATTTACTTGAACAGAAGCTAGCTGATGCCGATGTATCAGAGGAGGATCAAAATAACCTATTAAAATTTTTAGAGAAGAAGGAAACTGAATATATGCGCCTCCAGAGGCACAAAATGGGTGTTGATGATTTTGAGTTACTGACAATGATTGGGAAGGGTGCTTTTGGGGAGGTAAAGATCATTGATGACAAATATGTCTGTCTTCATTTCATTTACTTTTGATTATTAATTTCACAATTTGTTATTCATATTTGTACTTCAATTTGTTAAGTGCTATTTATCTAAGAATTTGTTATATAGATTGTTGCTAAGAATAAAAATTAATAAAGACACTAAAGAAGTTTTGACCTTTCCCCTTTACTAAACAGGAAGTGCTTATCTTGGTGAAACAAAAAGCATGAATGGACTTCATTTCATAACTGTTCATTACTGTTAGGCATGAGGTGAAATGTCAGATCATAGGTCCTTCTTGGGTTCAGTTGGGTGCATGAGCAATTTTAGTAACCAAGTGCTTATAAAATAAAGAATGGTATTGATGTTGCTGAAGCTGTCCCCAGCCGCACACCTCACAAAGATCGTGAATATCTGAATCAATTTGCACCAAGTTTCCAGAACTTCTTTTAAGTTTCCACTTCGATCAATAATCTTCTGCTTGGTTAAGTGTAAAGGCATTCATAATATAGTTTAGAGTTCCTAAGCGTATGCAATTCCTCGTCAGAATTATTAATAAAATAAAGAGAGACTTCCAATCTTCATGTCGATCATTATTGTTTCACATGTTACTGTTGCATTTTAACACGTTTTTCTT